TATTCTTTAATCTTCATTAGTAAGTACTTTAGGTCATCATCACTTTCAGCAAGCAAAGTTGTGTTGTCAATTTATCACTGGTTGTTAATGATTCTTCCTCCAATCCTGATGCCTCATTTTGTTCATATAGTCCAGCTTCTCAGATTATTTGCTCAGCATATAGACTAAATAAGTATGGTGAAAGGATGCAACCCTGACACACTCCCTTCTTGATTTTAAACCATGCAGTGTCCCCTCGTTCTGTTCTAACAACAGCCTCTTGGTCTGTGTACGGGTTCCTCATGATAGATAGATAGATAGATCTATAGATAGATAGATAGATGAAAAAACGCACTGCCGTTGAGTCAGATCCAACCCATAGCGACTCCTCCTTGGGTTTCCGAGGCGGTATCACTATAGAAGTAGATTGCCCAACCTTCCCTCCGAGGAGTGGCTGGTGGGTTTGAACCGCCAGCCTTCTGGTTAGCAGTCAAATGCCTTAGGTGCTATGTCACCAGAGCTCCTAGATAGATAGATCTTAATGCATATACATGAAGTATGTTAATGACTGTAAACATGAAAGTCCCTTTATTTTTCTCAAAATAAAATTGGTCATTTAAAAATAATGTATTCCCTGAATTTTTAATGTATTTACTGACTTTTAAAAAATGTTAAATAAGCCTCCATGATTTAAAGTTTATTTTTTAAAAAAGTCACGTTTTTACTTTTTACATTTTTTTATGAACATAATGGAAAATGTACCTATTTTCATGGGGAAAAACCAGCTTGTAGTTTCTTGACTGGTTGATGTTAGCTTTAGTATAATTTTATGTGTTATAAATTTGTATGTAATAGTAACTTCTTTTTATCATTGCTTCTTTAGATTCCTTAACTCTAGATACATCTCAACTTTTTATTTATCCATCTTCCATTCCTTGCCAATAGTGTTGCACTTTTCTACAATTTTGGAAAATCTTGGAAATCAGATCCAGGAATTATTAAAGCTACTGAAGAGCAAAAGAAAAAGGTAGCAAGATACAGTCAGTGTTTAACTGTCAGATTATTAGAATTTATACCAGATATTAGTACAAAGGAAGTAATTATGTTTTGGAATATAAAGAAATTTCAAGCTAAACTGAGAGTCTGTATATCTTATTTAATGCTTACCTGTAGTGCTCTTGTGATGTCTGTCTTTACACTTACATCACATTTTATAATTTCATGCTTCTCTCGCGTATGAGGCTACTGCAGTTGCTTTAAGGGGGAAATACAGTATCTTAACCATCTCTGTAACCCCAATAAGTAATACATATTCAGTAAATGTTTGTTGAATGACTATATAAACCTGAAGGCCAACGAATTGGTTGATAGTACAGATATACCATTCTAGTGACTAAAACGTTTGTATAGATGATCCAGGGTACCCGTTTTCTATAACCCAGATACTTAGCAAATCAAATTCATGATATAAAGATGTCACACCAGTAGAGAATTGAACTAGAGTTAAGATTGCCTTGAGTACTATTTTATCCAGTGTCTGAAAACAAAACAAATCCTGATAAATTATTCCTGTCCACAGTAGATTAAAACACTGGCACAGTCTTCAATCTAATCCCCTTTTTTCTAGGCTGCATAGAGATTGCTACTCTTAAATTACATTATTCTTTGGAAATTACTGCTAATTGGTTTGCCACATTTCCTTAGTTATAATCCAGTCTGAGGATTCTGTTCTTCATTGAACTCAGGTTTATTTTTGTGTCTTTATCATCAACACCTATGATGAGTAACTTATTTTACTCTCAGAGCGATATACTTGTAACTGAGTTTGGGGTTGCTGTTTCATATATCAAAGAAATATAATTCTTGTGTTATATTGAAATAGCACAAGTAAGTGAACAAATGATGCTGTTTCTTATTTTGAGCAGAAAACACTGGTAAATTAAAGATGAACATCATACTTATTGCTTCGATTCTTACTGAATCACAATAGTTGGTGCTCATAGTCAGATGAAAAAAAGTTCAGTTTTGAATAAAATGTTATTTTTTTAATTCACAGACAATAGTTGAACTTGCAGAGACAGGAAGTCTGGACCTCAGTATATTCTGCAGTACCTGCTTGGTAGTATTTTCTTCTTTATTCTTCCCTCCCTCTTCTTCCCCCTGGCAGTGGCATAGCATAGAAGGTATGGGGTATGGGGAACAAGGAGAACAGTTTCCTTAGGTGGGCACATTTTCACCGCCCCCCCCATGGCTTTGTAGACCCTGGGACAAGAGGAGAGATAGTCAAGAGGTGGCTCCTCTCTAGCATGTTTATCCCCCTTATTGGTAGAATTGACCACACTTCTGATTTGGACTAATGTCATTGACATTAATTTTCATTCTCTTTCTCTATCCTAAAATGTAATTCAGTAAATTAAAAGCTAAGTAATAAAGTATTTAAAATTAGAGTTTTATTATAATTTCCTAATACATTGTTTTCCTAACTACATTTTAAGAAAATATATTCTTATATTTTAAAGGTCATAGTAGAAGAATCTGTAACTTTTAAGACAACATGTCCTCCCAACTGGTTCAATTTGAATAATATCTGTCTTTATTAGAGTATTTATGCATCTGAACACAGTTTTTTATCAGTGATAGTATAAACTGTCATCTTCAAATATGTCATGGTAAAGATAGACTGGTATGCACCACGTAACGTCCATTCTGGCAGCATCTGACCATATATACGTGGGGGAGGCAGTTGTAGAGGGGCTTGCTAGGAATGGTGCCAGGAGGTGGCCTGCATCAATTTTGCACCACCAGGGCATCTAAAACTCAGCTCCTGCAGCTTGTGGATGCCCTGCCCAGCAGCCCCACAGGTTAGTGCCTTCTTGGGAGATGTTGCGCTGCAGGCTCTGTCCTTCTGGGCTACCAGTTTTGTCTGGCAGCCAGTTGCAGGTATAAGTTTTCAAAACTCAAGTCTCGGGGCACTGATGGAAAGCTAGAAAAGCTTGAGCGGGAGTTACTTTAATACATGTGTATGAAATATATAGAAACATACACTGTATATAACAGGGTGTTCCCACAATGTTCAAATCACATAATGTCCTATTTCACAGAACATGTAGTGAATGTTAAGCAACGCATACCTGTATATGCAATTAACTAAATTTTTACATGGAATCAGGTATAGTAATTTTGACATTGTTCATTTTATTACTAAACACATTAATTTTCTATAGAATAAACACTTTCTTTGATTGTTTTCTGCTTAATTTTTATAATTAATATGTATATAAAATATATAGACTCATAATGTAAGTAGCATTTTTCTACATCGAATTTGAAATATCCCCAAATCATACTAGAAACTTAGTCCTCATATATACCTGTAAGTTATACACTGCAACTTCATTAATAGCAACATTTGGTTAATAATAAAGTTTTATAAATTCTGTAAGTTGTTTTACATAATACTTTTGGTTAAACAGTTTTGATTTTGAATATTCAAAATACATATTTCCTTACTTTCAGTAATAATCTTAGGATACTGACTAGGTTCTTTTGTATTTTCAGGCATCTATAATGCTTCACAAAAGATAATTCACATGATTTGCATTCTTTTCTTAGTGCTTAGAATGTTTTTATAAACTGTTTCTGTGGAAATACTGTTTTCCACATAGTCATATATACAATGCTCAAGTACTTGCCATATGGCAAACAGATTATTTATATAGTCAGTCAATGCACATTGTTTCACTGTTCAATAAATACCAAGTTACAAGAACAAAACTATTTTTTGTCATCAATAGCATAAACATTTTATTACATAATATGTTATTGTAAGTTATGTACTTTTCTTGATAGATAATTCCAAGCTGTAAAGAGCATATCCTATTATAAAGTAACTCAAATTGATATTTGTCATTATGTGGGGATGCTTCATACCCTGAGAACACATATTTGCACTAGAGTTTCCTAAAAATGAATTATTCCATAAATGAAACAAGGATACTGTTACTGTCAGGAACCCTGCATCCAAATCACTTCTTAACTGGTCAGTATTTTAGTTCAGATTTCATTGACTACTGTTGCCCAAAGGTGAAATGTAGCTAAGGATTGCAGGTAAGGATAGAAGTATATATATATATGTCCTTACAGCTTTCTCCTAAATAGATTTAGTCTCTTAACTGTGGCTGAGAATAACTTACCCTTTTCTTTGGTGCATAGATAATTTTAGCATAAGAAATACACAATCCTCTAATGCTTTTTCTTTGGTACCTCAAAACAAACGAACAAACAAAAACTCACTGTCATCAAGTTGGATCCGACTCATAGCAACCCCTCCTTGGGTTTTTGAGGCGGTATTACTATGGAAGTAGATTGCCCAATCTTCCTTCCAAGGAGTGTCTGATGGGTTTGAACCGCCAGCCTTCTGGTTAGCAGTCAAATGCCTTAAGCACTACGCCACCAGAGCTCCCTTGGTACCTCAAAATAGTGTATAATCTCATGCAAATTAGTAAGGAAATGGCAATGCTTTAGTTGAAACATCAACGAGGGATATTATAAACACTGTTTCTAGCATGGGTGGATAACTTATCATATACCCAGCGTTGAGACTACCAGACCTGTGAAGATCACTAGTGAGTTCTTATATTCACTTGGCTGATTCAGAGTAAGGTAGGATAAAAAGTATTTCAAGGCAGTTAAACAGTAAAACATCATAAACACATATTCTTCTTGCCTGTCAAGACCTGAAAATAGATTTTATGTTTCCTGTAAGAAATGGTAACTACTTAAACTTTTTAAGCATATTCTTCCACTTTCTTAGCTGTGGTCATGCATTTCATTAAAGGAAATCTGGGTTCTCAGGAGGCACTTAAAATAAATACATGTGTACACTTAAGAGTTTTGCTTTTTTCTGTATTTGTTGATTTGGGAAACATTTTTTAAATTTTAAATTTAAAAGCTTATTTTATTCACTTCTAATCTGACTTTCACTAAGGAACACTTTTATTAAAGAATAACTGGTGTCATGACCATTAATCACACTTCATCTTCACATAGAAGCCTGGATAGTGGTATGTTTTCTTTTTCAGGAATGTGAGAAATGTATATGTGATAAAGTTCCATTCATAGCAACAGCAATTTGATATTTAAGATTTTAGTTATTTTTATAAATTGATAGTTTTATTCCAATCTTACGATTTTATATGCTGAAATAGACTTATCCTTTTAGTTGTTATTATTGCCAGTTGAAAGTTCATTAAACAAAACAACAGTAATTTTTGTTTGGTTTTATTTATTTGGAAATCTTGGTATAATCCATTCAAAGAAATGTAGTTTATTTTTGCATAATTGTATTTTGAGAAAATAAATGTTCAGCTTTTCTCTCTCGGTTATGCCTTTCATAGTCCTTTTACATACCTGTTCACAGATACGGAAACCAGTGAGGTCCAAACACTGTGGTGTGTGTAACCGCTGCATAGCAAAATTTGATCATCATTGCCCATGGGTGGGTAACTGTGTAGGTAAGTTATGTTAGTAATTTCTAAGTGTATCATTCATTTAAAGTACTTAATTATTTTAACAAACTAATGAAGTACAACGTAAAAAGTTCATTCCTGCGCTTTATTGCACCCCTCGTCCCACTCACTCATATTTAATTTTTCTGGTTGACCAAATAGCATTTCAGTTGAGAGAGTGGGGAAAAAAGTTACAAAATCAGTGTCTAGAAAGGTTGATATCATTTATCTATCAATTCACTAGTGCCTAGTGGGAGCTCTGGTAGCATAGTGGCTAAGACACTTGCCTGCTAACCAGAGGGCTGGCGGTTCAAACCCACCAGCCATTCCTCGGAAGGAAGGTTGGGCAATCCTACTTCTGTAGTGAATACTGCCTTGGAAACCCAAGGAGGGGTCGCTATGAGTCGGGTTTGACTCAACGGCACATAACAACAACAACAGTGCCTAGTCTTTCATATTTTCTCCATTGGTTAACAGTGAAATCAGTAAGAAGTGAAATTGTTACATTCTAAATAAAAGAAATAGAACAAAATATCTGAAAAGAAGTTTTGTAGAGGCAGAGAAGAATGAAAGCTAAGAAATCTACATACCTCAGTGCTGTGGAACGTACAGTCTGATAAGATGGACTCAGTGGTCTGAGAGATGACCCTGGTGATTTTATAAGGTGACAGGAGGGAAACATGACAGGGATTGTGTGGCCCTGTTAGAAGCCTTTGGAAAATTGGGGTTAAGAATTAATGAAGGTAAGGGTAAAGCAGTCATTTTAAACCTCAGAAAACAAAGAATAGGATTTAAAGCTTTAGAATTGTGGTTTATTAGGTTCATTAGGATTCTTGTCTTCAGAATGAACATCATTACAGTCATCACATCTTAATGTATATTTATAAGCATTTTTATTTTAAGACTTTTATTTAAACACTTGTTTTCTTAGAAAACATCCTATAAAATAATTAATGTGTGTGATTATTGTCTAAGTTATATCACACCTTTCATGACATACCCCCAAAGGTGTATTACCAGTTGTTTTTTCTTAGCTGAAAAACATTGCTCTGTGTTGTTCTTTAGGTGCAGGCAACCATAGATACTTTATGGGCTACCTATTCTTCTTGCTTTTTATGATCTGCTGGATGATTTATGGTTGTATTTCTTGTGAGTACAATTAGTTTTTTGCCTTACTAAAACATTGCATAATCAGATTATACTTCCCTTATTAGCATATTACAATAATGACAAAAGTTTTTTAACTGAAAATTATTGTTTGGGGCACCTTACTACAATTAAGTATAAAAGAGAGAAATAGCTATAAAAACAATTTTCATATTATCAAATTATGTTCAACATACAGTATAAGCAGATAGAATTATTGGCTAACCACTTTTTTTTTAATGCTTGTTCACTGAAACCTGTGCTGGCTTAATAGGCTTTGAAAAGCTTCTGGGGAAAATACACCAACATTTTTCACATCATGTGCTTGCTTTCCTCTAGTAGTTTCTATAATATGTGATTTTTCTAGTTCATTTTACCAAATAGTTGGGAAAATATACTTGAAGTTAAGTTTGCACAGAGCTTGAACTATTTTGAAAAGTAAAGTAATATTGCCTATTAAGAATATTAATAAAGAGCTCTGGTGATCTAGTGGGTAAGGCATTTGGCTGCTAAACAGAAGGTTGGCAGTTCAAACCCACCAGCTGCTCCACAGGAAGAAGATGAGACAATCTACTTCATAAAGATTTACAGCATTGGAAACCCAGTGGGGGTTGCTATGAGTCAGAATCAACTCTTAGAAGTTATTCTGTTAAGAGTAAGTTTTTTTTATTCAGCCATATAAAGTTAGTACCTTAGAGGAAATGATGGCTTTTTATTGCACTGAAAAGGAAATTTGATGAGTTTAAATGAAGATATGCTTCAAGGGTTGGTGGCACTTATCTTAGACATGTATTATATCCTGGCTTAAAAACAAGATCTTGGGCAGATGCTTTCCTAGTTCTTCTGCCCCCACATATTAAGATTAATCTTTGTCATGCCTTAGTGAATAAAAGGAGGCTGCCTCTGCAAAAAGAAATTAACAGAAAGATTTGGTCAAAGGTCTTGACCTGATTTCTGGCCCAGTACACCTGTGAGAGAACACATTCCTGCCAGTAACAGTCGTTTTTTATGGCAGTAGCTCTTAGAGCAGGAGAAAAGGCTTACACTCCAGGGTGATCCTGTTATGTTATGTACCCCCCCCTTTTTTTAAGTCTCATTTATCTGTATATTATTTTTGTATAAAGAAAATGTTCTTCTAGGTATTTTATGTATACATTACCAATTAAATATAAACTTTGTTAGGATAAAGTATTTTTTTAAGATTGGTAACTGCTTTTCCATTTGTCTTTGATATTTTTTTATATCAGTTTTTTAAGAGCATAGGAAACAGTTGCTATTGAAAATTATTAAGTAAATATAGACTCTTTGATCATGTTTTCTAAATGGTGCTGAGTACAAATGCATACATTAGATGCTTGAATGATTAAGTACATATGAGTACTTCTGTTCTGGTTTTAGATTGGGGACTCCACTGTGAGACCACTTATACCAAGGATGGATTTTGGACATATATTACTCAGATTGCCACATGTTCACCTTGGATGTTTTGGATGTTTCTGAATAGTGTTTTTCATTTCATGTGGGTGGCTGTACTACTCATGTGTCAGATGTACCAGGTATGTACATTATTTGTTCCTTAGTGTGCTAACTGAAAACTCTCATAAAAGTTCACTCTTTGCTTAAAGGATACTAATGTATTTGTTTTTGAACCACTCCAGCTTTCCAAGGATTCATTTTATCTTTGAGTTTGCCTTATCTTTCTACTTCTCTCTTCTCCTTCCTTTTCTCATATTAAGAATTTAAAATATATATATATATTTTTAATTGTATTTTAGTTGATAGTTTACATAGCAAGTGAGGTTCCCATTTAACAATTTTTCTACAAATTGTCACGTGGCGTTGCTTACAGCTTTCACAATGTGTCAGCATATTAATTATGTCCATTTCTGTTTGTTCTGTTTTCATTAATTTAGCTTCCCTCCCCCTGCTTGCCATCTTATCTTTACTTCTGGATAAATGTTGATCATTTGGTCTCATAGCTTATTGTTTAAGGGACCACATTATTCATGAATGATAATGGTTATTTTATAAAGCCTGTCTATTATTTGGCTGAAAGGTGATCTTCATGAGTAGCTTCAGTGCCAAGTCAAAGGGTATTTTGTTATGCATTTGTCTCCCATTCTATTTGGGACCTTCTGCTGTGTCCCTGGTCAGAACAGTCTGTAGTGATAGCTGAGCACCTCTGTTCTTCTGGTCTCATGTTAGAAAAAAGGCCATCCTTTGCATGGGCTATTAGTCCTGTGGAGGAGTGTCTTTGAATCTTTGTTTTCCTTCATTCTCTTTTGCTCCAGACAAGTAGACACCAATAGTTGAATCTTAAATTTATATTAAGAACTTTGAACATTCAGTATTACTTTCAAGACAGAGCTTTATATTTCTGCAGTTTCTAGCTCAATTATTTTATCCACTTTGATAAAATAGTAAGCTTAGATATGCCATTCATTTTGTTTTTATTTTAATGGTATCATTTGATTATCCACTGTTACCAATGTTTATTTAATTTTTTAACAATTAGAGTTTGTAAAAAATCTCATTCTTAAGAAGGCTAACAGAGAGATTATCTCTGTGCATAGTGTGCGTATTTCCATAGGCAAAAAAAATGTCAAGTAACCTGTTTTAAAATATTTTTCTCATTTAGCCAACTACTTGACACAGTGAAAATATTATAATCTCCTAATGAAAAGCCAAAAAACAGATTTCCTTCATTTTTCTCCTCCTTGCCAGTCCTCTTGAGAATAAACTTTTTTTAATATTAAATATTCAGAGAGAGTAATGGGTTTGCTTTCTTTTGCCTATTAGATATCATGTTTAGGTATTACCACAAATGAAAGAATGAATGCCAGAAGATACAAGCACTTTAAAGTCACAACAACATCTATTGAAAGCCCATTCAAGTATGTACACATTTTAATATATTCTCTTGCTGTATCAATTTTCTTACTAATTGAATTCAGTAAATGTCTAATGAATACATCAAAGAAAAATATTTCCTTTAGGTATGGCAACAGACTATGAAACGAGCAATTATTTCTTTGACTTAGCAATATTTAAATCGAAAAGAAAGCCAAACCCACTGCCATCAAGTCAGTTCTGAGTCATGGCAACCCTATGGGACAGAGAATTGCCCCACAGGGTTTCCAAGGCTGTAAATCTTTATGGAAGCAGACTGCCTCATCTTTCTCCCACTGAGCGGCTGGTGGGTTTGAACTGTCTACCTTTTGGTTAGCAGCCCAATGCTTTAACCACCACAACACCAGAGCTCTTAGCAATATGTGAAGTAGCCTATAAATCCTATTTAACTGTAAGATTGCTTCCAGAGGTAGTATTGATCAGTTTACTGTGTGTGTGTATATATGTTTTTTTTTCCTAGTTTATATTCAGTTTGATGTTTAGAAACAATTTCCTTACTATATGAAGTATATAACACTTTGAGTTTTACTCTAGTTATTATTTGCCTGTTATCTTAATGCTTTTGCATTGCTATTAATTCTTACATGCTTCTGGAAAGCAAGCAAACCTTTAAATAAAACAAACATAAGAGAGTCGATTTGGTGGTTTTGAGAATTCAGCCATTAAGTACACTTATTGCATAAGGTGTAAAATTCACTGCTTTCCCAAAGGTGTTTTTGAAGTCATAAAATTCCTTGACCTTTTATTTTTTTTTAATTGTTTCGGTCTATTGCCAAATCCATATTACTTGTAATTATTTTTCTTTCACTTTCTCAGTTTTGGAGATGGTGTTTCTCCTTGCCAAAGACCAACTTATCTAGAAAAAATTTTTTATCAAAAATTGCATATGATAAAGGAATGGAAAAAATGCAGTTTGAATAAATTTAAAATACCATTGTATAATCCACTAAATTAGCAAGAGAAAAATAAAAATCAATGTTAGCAGAGTTGTAGAGAAACATTGAATTCATTAGGTAAATAGATCTATAGATTGATAGAAGAGGAATAAATTGGTTCTTGCTGGCAAGTAATCTGTTTTTAAGTTTAGAAAAAAATATATTTAACAACAAAATTATATTGAATTCTTATATTCAATCTTTGTTCTAATCAACTTTGTTTTCTTTTGTTTCTAGCCATGGATGTATAAGAAATATTATAGACTTCTTTGAATTTCGATGCTGTGGCCTCTTTCGTCCCGTTATCGTGGACTGGACCAGGCAGTATACGATAGAATATGACCAAATATCAGGATCTGGGTACCAGCTTGTGTAGCACCGTCTTCATCTTATGAAGCATATTGCTGAGTGGTGCCTGAAAACTGTGTCTGTCCCTGTCTCTCTCACACTCGAATCCACATGCTTTGAACAATAGCATGCTATGTGTAGGGCTAACAATGAATTTTACAGTTTTTTTTCCCCCAAACACTTTTATTAATAAAAGGTAACATGGACAGAACACACTGCCACTTCTGGGAAGAAGAAAGATCATAAAAATGAGTTTAATGGTTCTTCGTATAGGAATTCAAAGTCTACTCAACTTTTTGGTTTTATTCTAACACTTTTCATGACAAAAGAGTAAACTTATTCTGTTGTCAGACATGATATATGGATTAGAAATGTTCAGTTGTCGTTAAAATTAAATTTATGGTATTGGCTAAAGTTTATGATGCAGTCTACCAATAACGTTGGATTTAATTCCAGGAAAGTTGTCTTAAATTGATTCAGATTAATATTGTGTACATTTTAGAATGTACATGTAAATACTGTGATAAAAATCATGTGGTTGTATTAGGGACTTATTGTAATGTGTCTTCAAAGGCATAAGAAAATAATGTTCACAAAAAAATGTGCTAACGATATTTTACTTGAGTCAGCTGTTGCCTTGCTGATACATTTCTAGTTCAGTGAAATAATTTGTAGTAACCTTGCTCTGAGGTTTTATGGTCTGATAATAAAACACTTGCATGAGTAGAGTAAGTCACGTTACTTTGTTCAAACTTAAAAGCCCTACTAAGTGCATGATACACTTCATAGAATGTATACTAGCAGACACTATCCAGTGAGCATAAATTAGAACTTCAGTGTGCAAACAGTTCAGTTTTTGAAAGAGTTGAGGTATTTTCAAGAAAAGGCAGAATAAGTTAATGCAAAATTCAGTAATAGAAATAAGTGGATTTTTAATTTGAGATGCAAAATAAACTGTAGGCAAAATAGTGGGAGTTTTCGCTAAAGATGGAGCATGATCTCTGTACATAACACATGTGAATAAAAGAAAAACTAATAGTATATTCTGGTTTTTCAGAAATGACCTATCAAAAAGTAGAATTTAATTCCCAAGATTATTTTAATTTTCCCAATATTAAATGTTCTGAAATTTGTTAAAGCTGTCTGAAAAAAATTCAAATTTTCTTATTGTAAACGTGATGCACTGATCAATTTTTGTTGGCAGCATTTCCATAGCCTCATAATGAACTGCTTATCACTTGCTTCATAAATACTGTTTACAGAAAGAGACTTGGTTTAGTCCTCCTAAGTGCTGTAGCAAACTGTGGTTCGAGCAACCTGTGGGAAACCTGAGAGAGGGAACAGGGTGGGTGGGAGCGCAGCCAGACTGATGACAGATCCTAGACCAGTGTAAAGAATGTGTATCTGTACATAAATAATTTATCAAATAGTTTTCTCTTTGTGTCTGTGTTAGTGTATTTAAAGCTGCTCATTTCATTTTACCCAACCAAAAAGAAAAGGGAGATAACTAATGAGCTTCTAGTGATGTTCAGTATTGCTGTTAATAGGCATTATACCCTGCAAGTTCACTGCATGTCTGATGCTTGGTAAAATTAGTATTTCCTGTAAAATGCAGATTACAGGTATTAAAGCAATCTAGTGGTATAACCCGCCCCTTGCCTTAGTAAGAGGAGCAGTGAAAATGTATATAGTTGATGTTCAGTATTTCCAAGTATAATTTTTTTAATATAGTTGTTTCTTTGACCATAAGTCACACATCAAAACAAGATTTCCCTTAGTATATGTGAGTGTTTTAATATTAGAAAATTGGCATATGTACTTTATTTTTGAAAAGGGAAGAGATGGGTGTGGGGTGGCAATAGCATTGTGCCATTTTTGTCATAGAATGTAAAAAAAAATTGGTTAACCTTTACAAATGTCTCTGCTAGTTTTGACTACTAATTGGGGGGAATTTTAGATAATTTTTAAATTCAAAGTTATTTATACAATGCTAGAATTTTGTTTTAATTTTTGTATTTTGAGCCACTTCACATGAAAACTCAGTTGTAATTTTTATCTAATACATTTTTATGAACAAAGACTGGTGGTTTTCTCAGAGTTTGGATAAGAGTGTTGTTATCATTTTCTTTCTTTTTGGTACAACAGTCCTTTCAGTGCACATGACACGTCCATCAGTTAAATAGAAAAAAAAAAAAAAAAGCCTCTAGATGTATAATTAGATGGACAATACTAGCAACGTGAATGCTTTAGTACTAACCTTCTCATAGTACCAGTTAAATCTAGAACTTGGAAATGGTCAGGTGATCAGCAGCCAACTATGCAGCAGTGTACCTTCAGTTTAATTATTTTTAGGTCCTCTGTATGGAACCAACTTAACCCACTTCTGAAGTTGTATGTGAAGGTGACCCATTTGGGAATAGTTCACATCAGCTTAATTGGACAATTTTATCAAATAGCAGTTTACTCTCAGCCCTGAACATGAATTTCTTCCTTGGAGTTTTTATTCATATTTTTTGTGTTCCCAGGAATTCATTTGAAATATTAGTAAGTGTAAAACAGCATTATTACATCTTAAGCTATGGATATTTTTATTTTATATTTTCTTTATAACTGTGCCAAGTATTATTTTACTACTTACTGTGTTACTCTGTGGAAAGAAAAACCTGTAAAGTATTTAATAAATTAGCTCTCCTTACATAAATTAAATCTGTCAAAATTTTGTAAAATATTAATCAGAATAAATATTGACTCTTAAGTATGTGCTTGTCTTGTCATGTCGCACAATTCACTTCAGAAGATTAAACAAATTTGTAGTGGAGCCTGTGATATGAGATTATATATGTATCACCTGGTCCACTAGGAGTCACATGGCATGAGACTGCAGAAACTGGCCAAAATAAATGGTGGGATGTGTGTGTGTGTGTGTGTGTGATGCTTTTATGAATATAACAGTGAAGAATTTTGGATTACATTAAGTTATTTGGAATCTGCAGGGACTGAATGAATCTCCAAATGTTAAATTTAAGTGTGTCTAAAGCCATAATAGCAAAATAAAACCTATCAAATATTGATCTCATTTACTTGAGAAGGTCTACATAACAGCTTTTTAATATGGGAGTTAGAAAAGCTAAAATGACGAAGGAATCTTTCCCTGTTAGTCACATGGTGGTTAATGGTTTGAGAGCCCTAGGGTATTAAACAAAAATACAGATTGAACTAATACTCAATTCATAATTACTTTATAATGTTGAAAGTAATGCTCTAGAAGTGGCTAGAGCTCACTTAACAACTTTTTGGAACAATTATATAAAATACAGTAAACTCTACCATGAGGCATCAGGTTTAATTTCAACTGGAATTGAAAATTTAATTACTTTCTGGGGTCTCTGGGTGACGCAGTTCATATCCTCAGTTGCTAACTGAGGGCTAGTAGTTTGAGTCTGCTCAGAGGCACCGCAGAAGACAGGCCTAGCAGTCTACTTTGGTGAAAGCCGTTGACAGCCCTGTGGGTCCAGCTCTGTTCTGATAGGCATGAGGGTGTCCTGAGTGGAATGGACGAGACAGCAGCTGGGCTTTTTGAAGTTCTTTCTCCCCTACTTTATGTACTTATCTAGATCACCCAACCCTTCCCAAATTGGTAGATGGACCTATAATGTGGATGTCTGGTTCTAAGAGTTTATAGAGAGAATTAGAAATAAGTGGCATGTACCAGGATAGGAAATCTTAGCTTTTTGTAGGAAAATATTTCATGTGACTTTTAAAATAGAGAAATCTGTTAATTCCAAGTAAACCTATTCAGAATCACGCTTGATCAAAGTCTGTTAAGTCACAAATCCAAGGAAAGCAGGTGAGACTTTCAGAAAACTCTAGCCAGTTCAGGACTGTGTTTTGCTCAGTTAAGTTTTAATAAAATATTGGCAAACATTTTTAATAAACAGTAATGTTTTTAGTACTCAGAGGACCTGTTTCCATTCAAATTATCAGAAAAAGTCACTGTTGCTATTTCTATTAATTTCCAAGAACAAGATGCTAAATTTTAAGAATGTACTGTATATGTGTATTTCTGGAAGAGGTAGTAGAGAAACATTATCCCATAGTTAGGGGGTAGCCAGCAAATAGCAAGGAATCTGCTAGAACTTCTTGTGAAAGATGCCATAATAGCCTGTTTTTATGCATGAGTTTTAAAAATTATATTTGTTTATTTTACATGAATCTCATCAGCATTCTATAGGATAATTAAATATATGGCAAAAAGAAAGGCAGATGCTCCTTTAAAGAGTAAATAGTAATGAGATTTTTATAAAAGTATTTACACAAAATGATTTACATAATATACCTATTAGGAAAAAGGGGGGTTGAATACTTAGTGCAGAAGCCATGTGATAGACAGTTTCCAGCTGGGTCTCAAAATAACATTAATTCCCAAATCACTATTAAATGGATGACAAGACTCGTAAAAAGTGAGAACTTCATACCTTTGTTGGCAATAGAATCACTTTTATGGTAGAGTCTATTATCAGGTTAGATGGTGCACCATCCAACTGATTGGCCTTGGTTTCCAATGAGGATTAGCAGTAAATACTTTGCAACTTCTCTAGTAAGAAAAGCCAGAGACTTTCCAACTAAATCTAACCCCTCCTCTTCCTTCCCCCCCTCCCCTCATTTTAATGTTACTCCTTTATTTGGAAGCTAAATACCTGAGTTTGCTGGTGATGTATTGTTTCATCTTTCTGTATCTGAAAGGATTTTTTGAAAGATATTTTAGTTGGTTATGAAATTCTAATTTGACACTTTTTTCTTTGGTGGTCCAGTGCCTAAGGCATTTGACTGCTAATAAGAGGGTTGGCAGTTCAAACCCACCAGCTACTCTGCCCAAGGAAGACAGGGCAATCTACTTCTGTAAATATTTACTGCCTTGGAAACCCAATGGAGGTCACGATGAGTCAGAATCAACTCGATGGCAGTGGGTTTTTTTTTTTTTTTTTTTTTAGTATTTTAAACAAGTTGCTCCACTGTCATCTTACTTTCATTGTTTCTAACAGGAAAACTGCTGTCGTCTTAAATTTGTTCCTCAGTACATGTCTTTTCTCTGGCTATTTTGAGATTTTCTCTTAATCACTTGTTCTAAGCTTATTTATGGTATGCCTTCAAGTAGTTTGGTTTTTGGGCTTTTTGTTCATTGAACTTGGATCTGTAAGCTTAGTTTTCATTAAATTTGAAAAATTTCAGTCATTATTTCCTCACTTATTTTTCCTCTCAGGGACTCCAATTATACACTTGAGTCTGTCCGACTGTTCACTGATGCTGTTTTTTTTTTTTTTATTCCTTCCTTTTTCCTGTTTATTTGGGATAGTTCCCATGTCTTTTGAGTTCACTAATATTTTCTTCCGCAATGTCTAGTTTGCTATTAATACCATCTAGTATATTTCCAGGAGCTCTGGTGGCATAGTGCCTAAGCCATTTGACTGCTATCCAGAAAACTGGCAGTTCAAACCCACCAGCCACCAGCCACTCCTCGGAAGGAAGACTGGACAATCTACTTCCATAGAGATACCACCTCGGAAACCCAAGGAGGGGTTGCTGAGTCAAAAGGACTCAAGTATATTTTTCATCTCATATATTGAATTTTCATCTACTGTGCATATCTTCATGTCCCTGGTCAACTTTTTAAACATAGGCACTATATTCAAACTAACTTCAGTATCCTTTGTTTGCTATTAGTATCTAAATCTGTTCTGGGTTGCTTTTGATTGATTTTTACCCCTCATTATAGTGGTATTTTCCTGCTACCTTGCATGTGTGGTAAATTTTTACTGAATGCCAGACACTATGAATTTTACCTTATTGGGTGCTGGATATTTTTATATTCCTATAAAAATTCTCAAGCTTTGTTGCTTGGCAGCTTCAGTGCTTTTAGGTCTTTTAAGATTTTTAGGCAGGACCAGAGCAGTGCTCAGTATAGGGTGATGAGGTCTCCCTCATGCTATAGCTGGTGGGAACAGACACTATTTTAGGCTCCATGTGAGCACCAGTCAATTACCTCTAGGATTTTTAGGTGGTTCCCTGGCCTTTGGTAATTACTTCACATACATGTGCTATCAGAACCCAGATGAAGATTCACAAGGCTGGAATTGGGACACATTTCTGTTCTGTGTAACTCTGGTCTCCATTCCTCTTAACTCCATCTACCTTGGTCCCCCTGAACTCAGCTCTGTCTCAACTCAGGGAGGCTGACAGGCTCACCTGATTTCTTTTTGCAGTATGTCCCAGATAGTCCCTCAGAACAGTTAAGTTGTAGTAATCATAAGACAAATGTTATTTTTTTCGCCATAATGGTCCTTTGTTGCCTTATGTTTTTTTTTGTTGTTGTTGTTTCAAGTGAGAAGGTAAATGTAGCACCTCTTCTTATTCCATCTTGGCTATAAATGGAAGTCTGAATACATTTTTTTAAAATATTATTTCTAGTTTCTAATATGAAATAACTGATAACTAATTTAAAAATGCAAAGGGGTCCCAAGACAAAAAAATGTGAGAACCACTGGTTCATACCAAGATTTTCCAAACAGTGTTGTTAGTTCCATGGACAACTAATTCAGGTTAAGGCTTGTTTCATTTTCATGCAGATTTCTCAATCATACCATCTGTTTCAAAAACTTCAACATATGGTAATGTGCTCTTTGTATCTTCGAGGATATGCACATATATATAGATCTATAACTGCAGTAGTCCTAAACTTATTTGATCATGAAGACCTTTTTGGAACTAGAGTTGTCAGCAATCTTCCATAAATATCCCACACCACTGTGATGGGCTAGAAATGTTACAAATGGGTAGTTTTAAAGGTTAATATATGTTTGACCATGCAGCACTTTAATACTTCATTTGGATACTGACTTGATTTATATCCAAATGACCAAAGTGATTCCTGCCCAAAGTCAAATTCCCTTTTTTATTCCTAGAACCACCTGAAGTTTTGGAGTGGTTCCTGACTAAAGAATGACCTTAATTATGAATGGGTATTCGTCTGTCTTAATCGTTCATTTTACTAGACAGAATTCTCAAACTTTCCAAGCACCTGGCAACCACATTTAGAACATATTCCTCTAGCATATCCAGTATCATCTCCAAAAGAGTTTGGGAAACATGGTTGGTGTGGGAAATTGGCTTTGTGTAAGGAACATACTCACTGACATTAGTTTCTAAAGGTGAGGCTGTTGTGTGAAAATCAGCATTATGTGAACATGCAGCATGACTACATCATCATGACTGCCAAACCCCTGAGAACCACAGCCCAGCCAAGCTGACTGTTAACCACTGTCAGACATACATTGTTAATGCACAAAGTAGGTAGATTTACTAGTGTCATGAATGTAAAATGACAGATAATGAGATAGTTGATATGTGAGGAGGAGGTGTATATAATTCTAGTTATCTACTGCTGCATAACAAATTTCCCCAAAACTTACTGACTTAAAACAACAATATTTATTTTGTTCATGGACCTAAAATTTAGGAATGCTAACTTTACTCCAAGGAGCTCTGATAGCGTAATGCCTAAGGCACTTTTATAAAAATCTCATTACTATTTATTCATTTAGTTGACTGCTAACCAGGAGGCCGGCAGTTCAAACCCACCAGCCACTACTCAGAAGGAAGGTTGGGCCATCTACTTCCATAGTGATACCACCTCAGAAACCCAAGAAGGGGTCGCTTTGAGTCGGGTCCGACTCGACAGCACATAAACAACAACAACAACTTTGCTCCACTTGTCAGT